TGTAGTATATATATATATATATATATATATATATATTAGTGCTGTCAATCGATTAAGAAAAGTTAACTAATTAATCGCACATTTTTTCTGAAATTAATCATGATTAATCACAATTAATCCCACCTAACATTAAAGTTTTTAAAATACACTTTTATATTGCAATAATTTCACATTCAATCTTCAAATTAATGTAGAAATAACATAAAGATAGTATATTTTTAATGGCATATTTTTTTATGACTGAAGGCGAGTATCACTGACACCAATACTACTGATGTGTCTGGGAAATTGTTTTTTTCCCTAATATTTAACCATAGACTATAGCCATTCAACATTACAGTATAATTGAGAGCTATCAATTTTAACATTTATTAGACTTTAAAAAAATAACAACTTCTAATTAAAGTGAACTTAAAACAATCTTCACATAAACCCATTATGATAAATGTCATATTCACCTATGCCCATTAGCAAGAAGAAAAATATACAGAAATTGAATAAAGTTATCAACACTAAATTATAAATGAAAAAAGATGAATCCTTAAAGCTGCAAAAGTTACTGATTTCCTCTTTTTTCTTTCTTTTTCTTTGATTAACAGACATTACAGCAGCTGGGTTATTAGGATATTTGGCTGCTATTACTTTAAGAGCTGCCACTGCTGAACGTGATGCGGATCTACAGCTCGCGCCGCCATATTTGTGTGTGCGATTGAATAGCACACGCTACGAGCAGATTTGTTTCTGCTGACATATGGCCTGACAACATCTCATCTGATCACAGTTCACTGAGCTCCTCATCACCTATACCGTTTCCGCGCTCGTTTGACTCATGCTATCTAAAAAGTCTCCTGTTTGATATGGTCATAAAGATATTCTGCATCTAAATAAATGCAATTCTTGTCAAGAAAAAAGAGACAGAAGCAGCAGTTGTGAGTGGGGTGGCCAACCCTAGCTCCGCCCCTGCGTTAACTGCTTTGAGTATTTTTAATGCTGTTAAACTGGGAAAAATCATTGCCTGCATTAATGCGCTAATTTTGACACTATATATATTTATATATATTATATGCAAATTGCAATCAATGATTTATGGTCGTTTTGCTGTTAGTGTGAATGCCCATTTTGGATGATGTACAACCTGAACCTACAGCACTAGCATGGACTTGATATTTTAGATGAATTACTCAACAACTAAACAAGAATTTAGAAGAAGAGAAAAGAGATATGGAGGCAGTTGTACATGAACATGCCAAAACAAACACAAATCTGTCGGGAGTAGCAATCATCACAGCGCATGAAGAGAGAGGCAATACACAACCACTAAACACGAGCTCCATATCAATATTCAGAACATGTCAGAAACACAGAATACTGATGACCTCATGAATGCATGATTCCAGGAAACAGCATAAATATTTGCAATCATCATCATATTTCACCTCTAGGAGATGCATTATTGACGGCAGCTCTGAGAGTACAGCATGGTTTCTACTGCATCAGTAACAAAACGGCTCTTGACATCAGCATTTTGATGTTATACCCCAGCAGAATTTGATATTAAGTACAGTAGAAACTGTCAATCGATGCTGTCAAAGCTCAAGATAACGGCAAAACAAGGCCTCTGTCTTGATGCTGCTTTATGAAACTCGTGCAGGCAACACAAATATTGTCAAATCTTTATAAAATTCATTTGAATTCCAATATTTACACTACATTACTAATGTTTGGACATGTTTATTCATTGTTTACTAATACTACTGTTAACATCTTAGAAATACATATTAAAAACACAAATGCAAGCATGTGAGTTATACAGTGTCAATTTTTTTTAAACAAATATTGTATATTTTATACCTTAAAAATCTTTTTTGTCTATATTCCAGCTCTGCACAACATAATTAAAGACACTTGTTGGCAGCTTCACTATCCTTCACTGACTAGCCAATAAATTAAATTAAATTAAAATAAATAAATGAAGACGTGTTATTGAAGGTATTGAAGACACGTGTTGGCAACTTTTCCTTCATTATCTTATGGAAGCCATTTCTTCCTTGGGATAAAATGTTTTAAAAGTTAATGACAAAAAGGTTGACTTTTTATCTCACAATCTGACTTTTATTCTTGCAATTCTAAGAAAACTTCTAGATATACACTCATAAGTATTACTTTTTTCTCAGAATTGCGAGGAAAATATCAGAATTGTGAGATATAAACACAGAATTACAAGAAAAATTGCGAGAAAGGTTGCAATTACCTTTTATAATGATTATTTTATCCTGTGGTGGAAACACTATCACACTATATGGCCAAAATCATTCTTTAAAAAAAAAAAAAAAAAACTTTTTTAAAATAAAATTTTAGTTTTGTAAAGAAATGATTGCATGTTACACTATCTGGCCAAACTCATTGAAAAATATGTAAAACTGTGCATTTATTGTATTATATGCACATATGTATGCTTTATAAAAGGAAAAAAACATTTTGTAATACATACAGTACTTTCTAAGTATTTACCTTTCTAAGTATTTGGGTGAAAGGGTTTTTAAGATCATAAGAACAAAATCTCCACAAGAATGCAAAAATTAATTCAGTCAAGTGTGTCCAGATGTGGTAGTGTATATGGGACTTCACACTTTCAAAAGCATTTAAAAAGTAAACAAGTGTCTTTTTCTCACCTTTCCAGTTCTGCGATCTTCTTATCCTTGTCATTTTTATCTGTCTCCACCTCTCTCAGAATCTCCAATAACCTCTCGACCTCGGCCTGGGCTTTGCTGGACTCCTCTTTGTAGAAGGACACCTCCTTTTCTAGAAGCTTGACCCGGTCCACATACTCAGGGTTCCCACGTGAGCTTTGTTGCACCTCCATATCATGAGCCTTCTGTATGATGATCATGGGAAGGCATCACCACAGAAACCAGTTAAAACATGCAGTCTCAGTCAATCAAAAATTCCTGAAGAAGCATTCCCAGTTCGGAATGCCACTCCAGTGCATACACCAGTACGCAGACTAGAGGGCTCCACAAAGCAGATAATTAGCCAAACTTTAAATATAAGATTAAATGCACTTATTTGTCTTGCTGCAGTTGAAACAGAATACAAGAGATCACGTTATACTATACAAACAGAGGAAGTTGCAGTTATGTATCATTTTCTTTGCAATATTGAAATGCAGCCTTGCTTAATTATTAAAACACTGCGGGCATTCTGAAACACAGTTACATTGGCATGTTGAAAATGAATGCACAATGGATCACACACAATGCAAAATTGAAGAAAGCGACAACATAAATAATCCAAGATAATGTGGTCATACAACCAAAGGTTGCGACAGAACAAAGCTGACACCAGATTCACATGACATGAGAGGAAACACACACGACAGAGGTACATGCAACGCAACATGCAAATGTGGATTTTAGCTCCATGGTTCAGTGGTAAGATTCTTTGCAATGCGTTTGCCTTCAGACATATGCGTGTTCAAGTACCTGGGTATTAATTTCAAAAACAGATTAGTAAACATTGGAAGCATGAGGAAACAATACAGTTTTTCCACATTTCACAGAATGCCCTTGAATCCAAATTAATTCTGTTTTAATCCTGTTGGTTGGTTATATGATAAAAACAATAAACGTATTAAACAGGATGCACATGCAAGATTCTGAGCAGATCTGTATTGCACCCAAACTAAGGAAGAATATTTTAGAAAAATAAAATAATTTACACTTACATTTAATTTTTGTATAGCACAATTCACTATATATTATTTAGATTTCCTCTAAATAACCTACAACTGCTGCATCCTGCAGACCTCTACTTATACAACAACAACAAAAACCTCCAAAAATAGCTAGACTTCAATCTATTTTTACTTGACATTTTCCATAATAATTCAAAGCTGTACCTAAAATACATATTGTGTTGTTCCTGAACTGTAAATGTCATCAGACCATAAATTAGAACCCCTTCTTTCTAAAGCAGCAGGGTTGAATTCTTATAAGTTAAAGTAGAAAGAAACTAAGAGTATAGTGTCCTCATGTTTTCAATATGTGCTAGTACAGATCCAGAGAGACACTTACGGGATTGTTCATTTGACTGAACAGCTGCTCTGCTTGCTACATTGCAAAGGAGGGAATCATGGGAAATGAGGAGGAGGAGGAGGATGAAGGGACTCAGTAAAACAGCACAAGCTTTATCATTAGCTCTTCTTTCAGGATAATGATAATGTTCTACACAGGAGAATATAAATAACTAGAGAGCAACATAAGAACAAAAAGAAGCCGATTGAGTGAATCGCCTACCAAAACAGCATTTCTGATCAACATAGAATTCAAACATTTTAACTGAACTATGCACCTCTGATACCCAAAAATGCCATTTAGGTAGGCGGTTCACTAGGCTTTGAGACATAGCTACTGTCAAATAAGAGAAATTAGACAAAGACAGGAACTCATCACTACTTTCATAAAGTTCCCATGATGCCCTCTAAAATGAGTGACCATTAAAGCTGATGCCAAAAAACACATTCAATGACACAACTGGCTAAGTCATTGAAAGTAATTTCAGTGGTACCAATTACAGGTTGATTGATATCAGTTTTAAAAATGCAGATATTCTTAGAGCAAGGTGGCCGATGGCTTATATACAGCCAGAACATATACAGTGAGACCACAGAGAAAACCTGGGATTCATTCAAAATGAACAGAAATAGAAAAAAGATGTTGCACTGTCACCAATCAAATCAGCAAATTTGTGACACTGAGTATATGAACTCCTTTGTACAAAAAGTTTTGGTCTTTTAAAAAATATTTACAAAAAGATTGTTATGCTTAAAATTACATACTGCACACTACCGTTCAAAAGTCTGGGGTCTGTCAATTTTTTTATATTGTGATATTGTGTAATGTAATGTTGTGAAATAATTTTATTTTAATTTCTATTTTAATATATATTTTAAAATGTAATTTCTGTAATGCAAAGCTGAATTTTCAGTATTCAGTATCACATGATTCTTCAGAAATCATTCTGATAGGAAGATTTGGTACTTAAACTTTTCTTATTATCATCGATGTTAAAATCAGTTGTTCTGTTTAATATATTTTAGAGGAAATTGTGATGCATTTTTAAAAGAATTCTTTATTGAATAGAAAGTTCAAAACAACAGCATTTAAGCACAACATAAAATCTTTATCATCACTTTTGATCAATTTAGTGGCTTCTTGCTGAATAAAAGTATTATTTCATAAAAAAACAAACAAATCTTACTTACCCTACATTTTTGAAAGGTAGTGTATATTATAATGAACAAAAATAAATAAATAAATAAATAATATATAAAATAGAAGAGAAACAGCACAAATATGAAATTTCTGAAAACAATTATCTAAAAGTCTAAATACACATAATTGCTCAAATTAAATAATGACAAAATCAAGTCTAATTTTAGACCTAATACACACAGTATTTAATAACTAAAAATATATGAAAACAAAAATGTGGATTTTCTATTGACAAAACTGTCGGCAGATTCTGAAACGGACACACACTTCTTGTCAATCGGCCAAGCGCCACAGTTAACAAATGATGCTGATAATCCTAAACTGGCCAAAATCGAATGATCAAGATGTCAGAAGGAAAATCATACCTTCTGTAGCTGTGTCTCCAGTTTACTGCATTCTTCTTTCTTTTGCTCGATTGCGATCTCAAGGGACTTGAGTTTGGAGTCTTTCTTGAGACCTAACGAGGCCAGTGAGGAGGCGTGCTCTTTTAAATCTATGAGACTCGACTGGAGGAAGAGCAAGACGAAACGAAAGCTGACAGTCCCACCAAAAACTCACAGAAACACAACTGAAACCGACACACACGCAATCACTGACGTACCTCTTTCTCTGTTAGCTCCACTTGTAAAGAGTTCACCTTCTCTTTTAGGTCTTTATTCTCTCTTTTATATGAGTCCACCTCCTCCAGTCTCTCTCGGTCTTCCCTCTCCCTTTGCTCTTTCAGGCGCTCGATAATTCGCTCCTGTGACAAAAACACATTTCACCTGAACTCACGGCTAATTGAGCATGCTAAAACAATTTCCACTTCCCTAACACTCAAGGTTTATCAATAAATGTCTGTAAATGTCTTCATTCTTCACAGATTAGCGGGCAAATTCACTAAAACCTGCCGTAAATATGCTGTACAATCTGACTAAAGTATTCCAGATCATGGTAGTCTCTGAGCATCTGGCCTGAATGCTGAGAAATGTGCTGTATTTAATATTGTTTTTTGGCCATGTTTTCTTTGTTACCTGATTTGCATAATTACTTTAGAGAATCAGGTGCTAAAACAACACAGTACGCGCAAATAAACAATGCTATCAGCAGACACAATTTATTTCCTAAGTTTAAAATACTGTGAATGTGTCATGCACAGTCTGTTGTCGAAGGCAATTTCTTGAACTTTGAACTTCATTTTATATTCTCCAAACACCTAAATCAGCATATATGAGGCAGCTCTGATTTGATTTGCTTCTGCTCTACATTTTCATTTCCTCTTGTGATGTTTGGGACCGTTTCTGGTACCTTCTCAGACAGGGCTTCCTCTAGCGTGGCGAGGGCAGTATCAGTGTTGCTGGAGTCCGTCTGGAGAGACTTCACTCTGTCCTTTAGATTCCCGAGCTGTTTATCTTTATCCCTCAGCTGCTCCTGAAGGTTCTCAATCTGGGAGAGAGGAAGAGGATAAAACGAGTGTGGATTTAGCAATCAAACTTTTTTTATTGCAAAACATGTTTGTTCAACATGATAATCTTCACAAATGAACATAACTGTTATGAATTTTGAAGCCTAAATACAATTGCCCGAAGTAAAATGTTAGGCTATAAACGAATTATACCACGTTTGCATAACTTCAATGTCACTACTACTAAGATTCCGTCAACTGTTTAAATATTTAAAGGGGTCATATGATGTTGCTAAAAAGAACATTATTTTGTGTATTTGGTGTAATGAAATGTGTTTATGCGGTTTAAGGTTCAAAAAACACATTATTTTCCACATACTGTATGTACATTATTGTTTCTCCTCTATGCCCCGCCTTTCTGAAACGCATCGATTTTTACAAAGCTCATCGTTCTGAAAAGCGAGGTGTGCTCTGATTGGCCAGCTATCCAGTGCGTTGTGATTGGCCGAATACCTCAAGCGTGTGACCGGAATGTTACACCCCTTACCATACTGTGATGCTGTGTCCCGGAGCGACGAGACAAAAACGTTAACACCCATTATAAACGAGGCATTTGTTGCATCCAGTGGGGACATAATTATGAATTATAATGACTTATACTGTCTTTTTATAGCGCCGCGTAAACATAAAACCATGTCTGCATTTGTGATCGGAGAAATTACAAACAACAAGCACTACTCTACACTGCTCAAAACTCGCGTTTGAATCATCAGTGGCAAATCCTTTAAATATAAAAAACGTACTTACAGTCTGTGAGTCAGAACAGCCGGCATTGTAGTCTACTCTTCCAGGATCAGGAAACAGTCCTCCATAAAATGTGCTGCACACATCTGAATATTTGGGTTGAACTGTTCTGGAACAGTGTTGTAAATACAACCACTGATTTCTAGTCGTGTCCTCTTTTGGAAGGCCAAACAAAGTAGTTTCACTTTCACAACGAAACACACAGCGTCTTCACGACATGGCGGCAGCAACAATACTACAGCGAGAATAAAAGTTACGCCTTTTTTCTTTGCGTGAACATTTGGGCGGTGTTATGCAAATCTTCCCACATTGTGACGTAGACATGTGGGGTCATGTTAGAATGAGCCGTTTTAGGTAGGCGTTGTTGACTCTTAACTTTTATAAAGAATATCTCTTTGGATTTGAGACTTTAGTCTTTGCAACTTTACAGATCTTCTTTATGCAACAAGAGCTTGTAACACTTCAAAGAGAAAGGAAAAATTTTAATCGCATCATATGACCCCTTTAAAATATTGTTAGAAAGTTTAAGTTAGAATAGTTTGTAAGAGCACAAGTATAAAAAAATGAGGCTGTAAAAAGTGGATTAGTCAGCAATTGCCATTTAAAGCATAAAAAGCTTTTAAAAAATCATGAGTAGGGTATTACTGATGTATTTTATGTTGTTGAATGAAATATGAAAATCTTGCTTGTTTTAACCACAGGTCTTATTTCAGGCATTTAATCAAAAAGCTGTTAAAAAAAACCTTTGACTTTGGAACAGTGGAACTCATCTCTGGATTTTAGGACTCATTCCTGCATCACTGTATTAGCGAAACATGTTCATTCAAACAATCAAGAACTGCACTTCACCTTGGTACCACTAGGGGTGCTAAAATTACATACTTCATCTTTAAAAATTATATGGAAAGGGAGTTTAAAGGGATAGTTCACCCAAAACTGAAAATTACCCCACCCTCAAGCCATCGTATAGGCGTAGCTAGAGATTACAGTTTATAAAGTTTGAAATATGGATATTTTTTTGATACAAAAATGCACCAATTCGCTTCAGGAGGCCTTTATTAATCCCTCTGAGCCGTGCAGCACTTTTTATGATGGATGGACTTCTATTATTGGACATCTATTGAACTATTGAATATCAACACCCATTCACTGCCATTATAAAGCTTGGAAGAGCCAGGACATTTTTCAATAAAACTTTGATTGTATTCGTCTGAAAGAAAAAAGTCATATATACCTAGGATGACTTGAGAGTGAGTAAATCATGGGGTAATTTTCATTTTTAGGTGAACTATCCCTTTAAATTTGACTTAAGGTTATGCTATGTTGATTGCTGTAAGTAAATAGTTCTCAAATGCTTTTTAATATGAAAGGATTAGTTGTAAAAGCACTATGAGCTAATAAAGTTACAAATATACCCACAAACTGTAAGTGCACTGGTCACAAAAACATCATTTTAGTCTGTAAATGGGTGAACAAACATTGTCAAAATAACAAGGACAAACATCAAATAACAACAAATGACACTGACAATGAGAAACATTAATAAGTCAGTGTTTACTGACATGAATGGATGTATACTGCATTTAGAGGCCATCTTACAAACAAACTGTATGTACTCAAGGCCATCTTACAAAGATGGATAACCTAGTGTAACGGACACAGTACCTGGACATCTGAGTAAGTTATATGGTCTTTCGGTTCATCTTTCACCTTGTTTTCCATTTGAACGGGTTTGTGTTGAAGAAAGCCTAAGGATGTTTCAGCCCACAATGTCTATTGCTGACTATGAACAATTGTGGTTGGTCTCTAATGGTACGGGCGGCATCTCATGGGAATATTTATGCTTGATGATGTTCTGTATGGCCAGATAATGGGCTAGATTTCACCCCCCAGTTTTCTGTTTGATGAATGGTGCAATATCCCGTTACCCAGTTATGGAGCTGTATGAAGGGGTTTCAAGAACAAATCAAGCTGTTTTGAAGGCAAAAGGAACTTCTTGGTTGTTTCTTTGTGTAAATATCTAAGACATACAACAGGATGTTTGCAATGTGACTTAGAATATAAGACATAAGGGATCAAACCAGCACAAAGAGCCAGAGATCAGAAGCTAAATACAGTTTGAAGCAGACTGTGGCCTTTTATGACTCTTGAGATGTTTCCAGTGTCTGAACAACATGAAAAAGGCTGAAGAACCCAGCAAAGCATGTGGTGATATGGTAAGAAGAGAGCAAAGATGAAAAAGCAGTTGGAAGAAGATATGGGGAGAAAGACACTAATGCTCTGTGGCTCTGTTACATGGAGTTATAATGCATTTTACTAGGACTGCTTTGTCTGTGAAGAATACATGTGATTCTGCTTCAAATTTTTTTGTCAAAATTCAGCTCACTAGGTTTTAAAAACAGAGCTTTCTCTATATTATATTATATTTATATTTTCTAAAATATCTCACCAAAAACACTATATAGGTGTGCAATAAGTTAAATCTGTTACAGATACAGGCTTTCAAATCCCCTTGCTCTGGCTCAAATCCCACTCTTCTTGGTACTGCTCATCAGTATTGACCCCAATCATTTCTAAATGGCCCATGAAAACTGGCCTCTGACCTTTGATTCCCAAGTGAGATTTACCTTCTTCTGTAGGACGTTTATCTTGCGTTCTTTGACTTCCAGCATGTCTTTCATGTCTCTGATCTCCCCGGCCAGTGTTCCCTTCTCCTCTGTCAAGTCTTGCAGTTGCTTCGTCTTCTTATTAAGGAAAGATTCCTTCTCCTCCAGACGCAATCTAAGAGCGTCCACCTAAAAAACACACACAGAGGGCAAAGAGTTCATGTAAAGCTGGTGAGATGTGTCTTCAAGTGCTTATTAAAATAATAATAATAATAATTTATCATATAACACACAGAATTGTAAGGTACAATGAGTTGCACCAAGGTAAATGTTAAAACTTAATAAAAATAAAAATAAAGAAGTAAAATTTAAAAAATTAAAAATAAATAAAATAAAATCATTTTAACCTCTGTTTGTAGGATGGCAGCGCGTTGCTCTTTGGCAGTGAGGGACTCTTTGAGCACTTCAATATGCTGTTTGCAGTCTGAATTCTGATTATTTAGAGTTTCCAGTTTTGTTTGCAGAGCTAAAAGCTCAGACTCTTTTTTTGAGAGCTCCTGCTTGAGCTGGTCAATCTGAAAGAGATTGAAAAAGCAGGAACAGAGAAAGAAAATCTTCTGTTATTTATAGGACAGGGAAATAATTTAGTACATATGAGTATCTAGACAAATTATATTTTTAACGAATCATGACATAAAATGTGTTAATCAGCTATGTTTTTTTAATAGGGGAGCTGAAATGAGTATGGGAGTTTTCTTCTCTACATCTGTACTCTCCTCACATAAAAGATGGATTTCAGAACGCAATCCCCATTTAATATACATCAGCCATATCAATTATTGATGAAATGAGTTCTATAAATATCACAACAAAACCCCCAGCTTATTCACAAGCATGTTAGATACAGCAAAGACATCACACACGTGCACAAAAATCCACTAACCAATGAGATTTTTTCTGTTAAGAAACAAGCCAGTTAAAAACAGTTGATTGGGCAGTGCAAATCAAACAAACCAATCAGAGCTCTGGATCAAAATATCATTAAATATCAATTAAAAAGAAATAAAGTCAGAATCATGCATCTGTCATATTTAGTATGCAAGTGTAAAATTAGAACATACACAAACCTTTGTACATTGTTTGTTAAAGTGGCCTGGATGGATGGCAGTGTTATTTTAGTATTTTTTTATATACAAGTATAGCATTTATTGGTATGAATAATTCATTATAATTAATAAATATAATGAATTTATTAATAACAATTTGCTCTTATTTTTACTGTCAGTTTTAGCGATTTTGTTGTGTGCTTTTTTAATATTTCTGTTTAGCTTTAATTTATATTTCAGTATAATTTTAGTCGTTTTATTTTTTAAAGTTGAAGTTTGTCATCTAATACTTATATTTTATTTTATTTTATTTCACCTTCATTTCAATTACCGAAAACATTTTTTAATAGTTTTACAACAACACTACTGGATTGCGTACTATTTTCAGTTCTTTTTCAAAAATACAAATGCATGCTTTTTTGGCTAAAACTCCCCACAACCTCTTATGCAATGTATTATTTCGAGATGATTCTAGACACAGTGCCCAACGCAATGCGTGGTAGACTTACTGGCACTGGGAACTGTGATTCAGCCAAAGTTTGTGAGGGAAGAATTTCTAATAAACCTACAGCAAATACACTGAAGTGTTTTGACAAGAAACACTGTCAGCACAGCCATGAGAAATATTTACACAGATCCTACAGACTCTATTTTAATACTGCTGCTTCTAGCATTACTCAGCAAACCTATCATTACAATTCCACAAGACATCTGCAAGGATGTTCTCTGCCACTTCCCTGACACTGGAAGCCCTTTACTGCACTTAAACATTTGTGAAAAGACATTTATTTATTTGAAAGAAGCTCAACATAATATTTAATCTAAGTATGGACTGATAGTGAAATTTTGAATAATATCACTGATATTATAGCAGATTTTTTAAATCTTTACTGTTAAAGTAAATATGAAACAGCTTTCACAACCCATTTTCTTTCGTTAATAAGAAACATGATATTCAAAGTGAAAAAAAACTAGGGTGGAACTTTTATCCATCAAGAATTGATTGGATTGTGCAAAGTGGCAATTGCAGTGGAGGGGTTGAAAAACATGAACAAGACAGTTGTTTCAGTGACAAAGCAAGGTTTTACATTTTAAAGCAAGATTACAAAGACAAACCTTTTAAAATTTAGAATAAGAAAAAAAAATCTCTAACAAATTATCCAAAACAAAATTTGATTTATTAAGAAAGTAAGTAGGGTCAATACTGATTTCATGTTTACTTAAAAACAAGAAATCTTGCTCATATAATGTAAAATTACAAGCTTCAAGCCTAAATATACATCTTCAGGCTGCTAGCAATAATTAAAGGAACAGTTTACCCCCAAAAATTGCTCAAATCACCTACATTTCGGTATGCTTCTCATGCATGGCTTCCAGAAGACTGTGTGGACTTTTTTTATGATGGTTTTTGCTGTTTTAAATTTTCCGCTCAACAAATTAAATAACAGCATACAGGTTTACAACAACATGAGAGTATCCCTTTAAAAAACACATAAATAATAATAAAAAATTATGCATTTTCACTTTATCAGTTACCTAAATGCACCGATTTCTTTGTGTCTAAAGCGGTTTATAGTTTAAACTCTTTGAAGAAAAAGTTTACCTTGGTCTTCATGAACTTGGAGTGGTTTTTGTAGACCTCCATCTGTTTGATCTCCTCCTCTCGATCCTCCGTGTTCAACAATCCATTCGCCTTTAACATCTGTATCTCATCCTCCAGGTCTCGAATGTTGCGTTCCAGGCATGCAATTTTGGTGTCCTGGATAAACAATTTAGTGGAAAAATTAGCGACGCTGTGCTCCATCATCTTAAGCTAGTATGACAACTTTGGTGCGATTCTACGGACGAAAGCATGCCAAACCCAATTCCCAACAGATGGGATCAAAACAAGAGGAAGACAGGGATATGCGAAACTCTAACGTCTTGCAGCATCGCCAGTGAGTAGCTGCAGTACTGCTGCATAGCCAAAGCAGAATCTGTCTCTCTCATGCTAATGGTTCAGCATGTAATCACCATTTGGAAGTAGTGAGCGCACATCCAGCCTGGGTGGAGAGAGACACTCTGGGAAAGCGAGCTGTGCGTGTGCCTCTTTGGACTGCGAGACAGAGAGTTGCAGCGTTGCAGCTCCTTCGGCTTTTTAAATAAATAATACAACGTCTTTGGCATTAGCTATGGTCCATCTCCCATTCAGACATAAGAGAACGTTTACTGTTCCTTCTCGCATGCTCTCTCCGGTAACCCGCCCTTCCTGTCCGCTCTCTCTCTCTCTTGCACTCACTCTCTCATCTTTTTGTTTTCACAGACATCAATAGGCACCATTTTCACAAGAGGCCTTTGAAAACCAACATCCCTTTTCCCGCATATTGCACACAGAGAGTCAATTCCTTATGCAAAGCGTGAGGCTTATCGTCAATATTTTGAAGGCTCTACACGCTAAATCCTTCATTATTTAAATGCAATGTAACATTATACCTTGTGGCGATACGAAAGATAATATCCATCTTCAGAATATAAGCAAACAGATCACATTGCTCTCTTTTCTGTCATCCTCTCCCACGCCTGCATTCGTGCTCTATGTGTTGTAAACAACTCCACCTGTTCCCATGGCACCAGAATCAGCATCCCTGCTCAGCCAATAGGGCGAGAGAACACGACCAGTGATGCTAAAGGTTAAAAGAGCAATGGAAACCAGTACAGGTGAAGCGGCTTTTGCGGTTTTTGGTTCCAGGAAAATGCATCAACTGAATTAGCGAAGTTGCACTTTGAATAGGAGTCTATCACTTTGCTTTTCGTGTCACATGGATGCAGTGGTGAATTCTGGGTAATATTTAGCTCCAATCAGAGTGGACCCGAGGGGTGTGTGCGTGCCTTGCATGAGGTCATGCTTTATTTTTAGAGTGGTGTGTAATGCTTCTGCTGGCAGGAGTTGCTCTGCCTGTGAGCGCACAAACCCACTTACTGTTTCATTCAGCCATTAAGCAGCAGGCTGCAGTGGCTTTGCCATCAGACATTTCTCTTGTCTTTCTGGACCATTTCTGTTTGCCTTCTCAGCCTATTGTTTAACCAGAGCGTGCCAAATACAACTACTCTCTCTAAAGACAATACTAATTATTTGTTAAACAAGTCTTTCATGCGCACCAAGGCTGCATTTATTTGGTCAAAAATACAATAAAAACAGTCATGTTGTGAAATAGTATTAAAAACAGCTATACACTTTAAAATGTAATTTATTCCTGATGGCAAAAATCCATAAATCTAGTCTCCAGTGTCACATGATCCTTCAGAAATCATTCTAACATGCTAATCTGCTGCACAAGAAACATTTCTTATTAGCAATGTTGAAAAAAAAACTGCTTAATATTTTTGGAAACCATGATACAGTACATTAACAGCACTTACTTGAAAGAGAAATCTTTTGTAACATTATACAGTCAAACCGAAATGTATTCAGACACCTTCAACATTTCTCACATTATCACAGTTATAGTTTAGAAAATGGTAATAAAATATGACAGGAACTGTGTCAGAACAAATTCATCTTGATAATGTCAGATAACTTTGATAGAAAGGTATGTACTGAATTAGGTTGAATAGCTGTCAGCTGTTAAATTTGAGTACACAATTAGATAATACCAATTTAGGTCAACCAATTACTAAGCAATGCTTAATTTAATTAATTTAGTTCAGTCTGTGGTGTAAAAAGATCGCATTAGCAATTAAAGAAAAAACACATGGTCAGGTCAAAGTGCCTGAATAATTTTTGGTCCCAATTCTTTTATCAATTTTACTGGTAGTCCACTGTATGAAGAATTTTTGGGTATAATATGTCACAGTTCACTTTATTTTGCTATCCTCACTTGCATAAATTAACTATAGTGTCCTGCACCCACTAGTAAAAAAATATCAAAAATTATATCTGGTGTCTGAATCATTTTTGGTTTGACTGTAAATGCGTTTACTGTCACATTTGATCAATTAATTGCATTCTTAAATTCATTATTAAAAAATCTTACTGGACTCAAACTTATGAACAGTAGTGTATAGTATATATATTATATAAGAAGCATTCACAGATGTTTACCTTCATCTCTATGATAGTCTGAAGAGCTTTAGTTTTTCCAGGGTCTGGGTGAAGTTGGTTTCTCCGATGAAGCTCCTAAAGAAAAACAAAGATTATAATCAACATAATAACAAACACATAACACAAACTTGAGCTATACACTTTAGAATAAATGTGTTCTTGTTTATAACAACTTCATTCTTTTTACTTGTTATAGTGTGAAGTTAAAATCCATTACGTAGCCCTAACCTTAAACCAAGCCAAAACATCAGAGAACAATTATGTCAATCCGTTAACATTAAAATCTTATTTTCAATCTGCATTCTGATCTTTTTCACTCTTTGACATTTGTATTGTTTCATTTGATTCTCTTTGAGCTCATAGGGAATTATCTGTGTGGTTGGCATGGATCTCCTCATGTTTTTCTCTTGGGTTTTGATGACTCAGAGACCATATGCTGTTATTGTCTTAGTTGCATCTGACTATCTATCTGACTATTACGATGGCAAACCACTTAACCTCAGATTGCTCCATGGAGACTGTTTCTGAATTATTATATTTCTCTGCTCTGAAAATCTGCTTTGAATGTGTTGCATGTTCACGTTTGAAAACAAACATTCCTTTTGCAAGTCTACATCCATTACTAAAGTCCATCTTTAAGTGACATGCATGCTCCACTTTCAGCCAGAAAGTTTGAGTAGAACCTGATACCTCTCTCAGGTGGATGTTTTCCTTCTCCTTCTGGTCTAATATCACCTCCAGGTGTCCCAGCTGTGCTTCAGCCTCTGCGATACGCCTGGCTCGCTCTTGCTCTTCCTCATCTGATGCTCTTCCTGAGGCTGGGGGAAGTCCTTTACTCTGCAGCATCTCCAACAGCTTCTTTATGGACTCGTCTCTGGCTCCTAGCGTCTGTTTCTGCGTCTCAATCCTCAGCTCCATCTCTTCCAGTGTCTTCCTCAAGAGGAAGAGCTCTTTGGCCTGACGGTCGTGTTCGGCTTGGAGTCGACGGAAGTTCTCCTCGGTTAGCTCGATGGCGGTGAAGTGCTCACCAGCACTGACCCGCGACCCGCTCTCCTGCTGGAGAAGATGGTTGAGATCACGTTGAGTCCTCAACTCATCCTGCAGGGCCTGGATGGTCAACTGGAGGTGCTGGAGAAGGAAACAAAAGCAGAAATGAACAAAACAGGCACTGGGATCCTCATGTAGACAATAATCAGAAGGTATCCTCAACCAGACCCATTCAGAAAGCCATCTTTTGATATCAGAAATTTTAGGTTAGATTTGGAAAAAAGGTTATATAGACCTCACTGTGATGTATAAACATATTGCACTGTGTCCTAACCAGGTGTGGGGCAACAGGTTTCCAGCATCAAGCAATTTTTCTGTCCTTCAGGAAAGTTCAAAAGCTGAAAAGTGACAAAAGCCAATCAGAACGTAATTGATGTTGGAAAAAAGTGTTGTAGTCGTTAACTAAAACTACACTATTTATTTATTTATTTAGAATTTGATATGAAATAACTCTGTTATAAGATGAAATATAAACGTTGGATTAAAAATTTAAACTTAAAAAATGAAAAATTGAAAATTTTGCCTTGACAAATAAAATAAATAAGTTTAAGCTGAAGTACTAAAAATACTAAAACTTAAGCTGAAATTGAATTAAATAAAACAAATAAACAAACAAAAGCACATAACAAAATGACTAAAACTTCAACTAAAACTATTAAAAACTGTTTTGGTCATTTAAATAAAGCAATAAAATTAAATATAAATGTCAGATTAAACATTTTTACTTAAAAAAGGAAAATTATAAATGTTGCCTTGTCAACTAAAATAAATAAGATTAAGTTGAAGTACTAAAATTACTAGTTAAAATTTAAATAAAAATTAATAAAGAAAAAACTAATAAACATAACAACAGCACATAACAAAACTGTTCAACTTTAACTAAAATTAAAATGAAAACTTTTAAAATAAAAGCAAATTTTAAATATGAATAAATACTATTATATCTAATACTAAAACAGCACTGATTTGGACCAATGAAATTTCCCTTTGGGCGGGGCTAGAATTTATAGACTATAGCACTGCTGCGTTGTACCTGGTTTGAGTACAGATTACAAATGAACTGGTTCAATTTTGCATTCATAATTCACAATGACTTCTATTTTCCATTTGACTGCTAATTATGAGTGAGATCAATATTAAAAGGTTAATCTTTAATAGCTAAACTGACCAATTTAGCAATATCTGGATGTATATCTTAGTAAATGTATCCAAATGAACGGTACAGCGGGAAAACCACAGTGAGGTCTATACTAGGAGAGGAAACGGGACAGGATAAGGTTTCTCTTGAGAAAACACTAACTAATAACTCCTTAAATAAGGTTAATGACAAAGAACTTTGCTAGAAATAGTCACAAGATAATGGGGTTTTCGGGTTTTCGGGTCTACGTGGCACATGTGGCGCCTTCGGCAGAATGAGAGAGTGTATGGGCCCAGAACTGGATCAGATCATTCACACTCATGTCAGGAAATTTAGATCATTACACATCCTTGCGCTATCACAAACAGAACACACAATTCTGACAGAAGAACAGGTTCAGTCGAGGATCACAGGCATGCTTTTGGTCAGGATTTTAGTAAAAGATCCAGCTATTTAAGGCCCGGCTAATGCGGCGATACCCCGCCTTAGCTAATCTTGAAGGAACATGGAGGAGAAGATAAGGGAAAATGTTCCTTATTGAGGCTGTCCTTATATAATGATCTGATCCATTTAAAAGTGATCATTAAAATAGCAATGGTCTCAGATCAAGCTAGTAGGGATGCACTGATATAAAAACTTTAGCTGACTTGTCAATGAAATCTATGTTTCGCCTGTTTTTTTTTTTTTTCAAATTCAGTCAATTCAATTTACATTTATTTGTATACCACTTTTTACAATACATATTGTTTCAAAGCAGGTTACAGAAAAATGAATGAAGCTATACGTTGGTATTTTAAAATAAACTATTGAAATCATTTTAGTTAATTGAAATTAAACTTTTGAATTAAACTTAAAATATTAGATTAAGAAAATTAAACAAAAATTTGAAAAATTACATTGGCAACAAACTGAAATAAAACATGTTTAAGAGCTAAAATTACTAAAACTAAAACTGAAAAAAAAAAAAGAAAGCTAAATGAAAATATTTCTTAAAATACAAACAAGTAAAAATAACAAAAGCAAATAATAATATTGATAAAACTTAAACTAAACTTTGAAACGAAAATAATTTAATTATTTCATATATTAATTCAATAATTTATATATTGCTAAATGCTATAATAGTTTAGAATAATACAAACATAACCCTGCTCTTCATCAAAAACATTGTAAAATCATGTCCCATTGAAAATGGTAATTGAAATCTGGTTGAAACCTAGAAATTAAAATGTAAACTTAAATAAAAAAAAAATAATTATAATAAAATACTAAATAAAATAAAATAATAAAAATAAAATAAAATAAAAAATAAATAAATAAAATAAAAATAAAATAAAATCTGCTTCCGATATTGGCCTAAAAAGACCAACACAACTAAAAATAAACTGAGCTGGATATTGACATCACTGAATTCAATGATGAACTGTCTTTAACTGAAAAATTAGTGTTTACTATTGTCATTTTGCATTATTGACACACTATTTTCCTAATTAATGCTGTTCAGTTGCTTTGACACAATCTGTATTGTTAAAAGCGCTATATAAATAAAGGTGACTTGACTTGACTTGACTTGACTTAAAAATTCTAATATTGGCTGATACTAGTCACCGTTATCGTGCATCCCTAGTAGATAAGAACAACACTCAAAGAAACCCATGAGATCTGAATCTATGGATCAGGTTTAAGGTACAGTCTGGTTTTGTTTAAAGATCAGGGACACATTTCGCGCCAAGCGTGCGGTACCATGTTCTGCACACGCTAGCGGTGGCGAACATGACAACAAACCTTTGTTCTCCTGGCGTCCAACAGGTGCTGCATGATTGTGGAGTGCAAAAAAAAACAGAAACAATGAAACAGCAGAGTGAGGGCAGAAGGAGATGAACTAAGCAATGACACACAACAAAAACAAACTGATAGCATTATTCAAAGGATTCAATTACAAAGAATAATGAGGCATTTTACATTCAGGACACTGCATACAAACACATTGTTAATGGAAAAACCATAACAGAATGGAAAATACAATTAAAGACCAGAGGAAGTCATAAAGCTAATGTGAATGATCATTCTGGAAAGATGTCAGTTCCCTTTCAGTCGGTCACTCCCGACGTCACGTCGGTTGACCGACGAAATTTTTTGCACTGATATATTATTTCATGAAAAATAGATAATGTCCAAGACAGATGATACATAATAGATAAATAATGTCCAAGTCACATTTCACCCTAAAATTTCACCCTCAATTCTTTTTTGTTTTGTTCCCAGCACAGAATAAAAAAACGAAAATGTTAATTGCGAACACACACACACGCACACACACACACACACACACACACACACACACACACACACACACACACATATCAGTGGTGTGTGGTGGTGTTCTGAAATGAGGAGAGAAAGAGTTTTTTTTTATCAAATGTAAATTCATGTCCTGGTCACATTTTCTTGGTCACATAAACATTACTTACACCATTAAGGAAAAAAAAATAATATTTTTACATTAACAATGTAATCAGTATTCTATTTATTAAAGCCAAGTATGAATCTCATTAAGTTAGTGTTTTTAAGCATTTTACATGTATTCCAATATAATAATTCAAGGCAGTAACAATTTAAACAATATGTTTCATTCGTAAACTTATGTTCAGCTTTTCTTTTTAATAGTTAACATCTAAGTATTTTTTAATTTCTTGGATCATCAGTCATCAAAGCTTGGTAAATATTGGTCACAAATGCAGAGATTTACTTTAAATTTCACCAAGCTAATTGCTCACTAAAAACTCCCACAGATCAGGTTTTCATGCCATTTTAAGTCTTATTTCGATGTAACAAAGTGGTTAAATCTAAGTGTGATACTTTTTAATTAGTCTTCCCATTAATGCCATTATATTGTTCATTGTTCATTCTGATTCGAGAACTTGCATTAACACAAGAGGCGGGATTTATTGAATGAACCGATCACAGCCAAACATAACCAGTTATATCAATCATATCGCGATGGAGACATTGCCTCCTCTCACGTGACTTTCCCCCATTTATTCTCAAATACCCCACCACTACCAAATTCACCGCATGCTATGGGGGGTCTGTTAAAACTCAATGTGCTCAAGGGAGGCATGACAGAAGCAGATTTCTGCTGAAACTTTACCTGCTGGTGTTGCTGTTGGACAATGTTTCATTAGAAAAACGAGTGATTTATACACTTTTTAATGTTATATTTTGTAATATTTGCATTGTTTTATTTTTGTTTGTACAAATATTTTGAGGAGGCACTACCTTCCTTCACATATATATATATATATAAATATAAATAGAATTTCTTATTTCTTTATTTTGATCTAGGTGTCAAATATGACCTGGGTGTGGTCTTGGCAGGTTTTGTGAGATTCACTCATCCTTATAAATGTAACTACAGTACCAATATTCTTTCTTTAAAAAGAACTAATTGGCTTTTATGACTGCCGCCTGCGCTCATTACCTCTTAAAGAATCGAATGCAGCTGTAGGGAATCGTGTGCGTTTACCGCAGGCACATTAGCAAATTAATTCAGACTCCTTAAACAGACACACACGCACGACTGCAAGCAAACACACATAAAATCAAACACGTGCACTTGTTTATCCCAGATAAATGCTACGGATGCTCGTGTAGATATGCACGGCACACTCGAAAACAGAGGAGATGAGACTTTGGCTAATTAAATTTGTCGACCAAATAAACTCTCTATTTCTGTTGTTTTCACTCTTCCCAGCATAGATCGTGTTTCCTTCAGCACAGGAAGTTTACTGAGGACACAGGACATTTGTCTCTCTTTCTCTTCTGTCTATCCATCTCCTTCCCAATTCCTTATCCTCTCCTCCTTCTCTTTCCGTCTCCGATCAATAATCTGTCTTGGCTGGCAAAGAATTCAAGGAAACGGTCCAATGATTCAATTTGCATAATTACAACAGTTTGCAAAGAGCCACAATCCCCTGGGTTGCAAAACGGCGGCTAGAATAAACTCCATTCCTTACGACCGGAGATATATGGGGTTGTTGTTCAAGTGCATTTAAAGGGACCACTCACCCAAAAATAAACAAATTCTGTCATCATTCACTAACCTTCATGTCACCCTTGGAACAATAATAGAATTTTCATTCTTGGGTGAACTGTCCCTTTAAGAGCATGAGGTTTGAGTAGAGTTAGCTGAGTCATTCAGAAGTGTTCAACTTTCATGTTGTGTGTGTGTGAGGCGCTCTCAGACGCACTGAAGCATAGGCAGCCATGAATATGTATCCCATACGGCAGCGCGCGGAGGAGAGCTGGCAGCAGGAAAATTCCAGAGCATCCATGAGGAAGCCCGCATCCCTTCCTCTCCCGCTCATTACTCATTACCCCCCATTATTATCACAAATGTTTCAGCTTCATGCATCCAAGAGAGAAACAATTTTTCATTCAATTTGTGATTCTGTGAAATTTTATTTCTCTGCATATTGAATCTTTATGCTGTGTTTAAAACATCTAAAAGAGAAAAAAATATACATAATATACATATAATATACATATACAGTCATTCAAAAGTGTTTTTGAAAGAAATTAATGCTTTTATTCATGCAAAATTGTTACTTTTATTTATGCATTAAGTAAAGACATTTCTAATGTTACAAAAGATTTAAATTTTCATTAAATGCTGTTCTTTTGATTTTTCTATGCATCAAAGGATCCTAAAAAAACTGTATCATAATTTCTACAAAAATATTAAGCAGTTTTAACATTAATAATAATGATAAATGTTTCTCAAAATCTGAAAATTAGAATGATTTCTGAAAGATCATGTGACACTGAAGACTGGAGTAATGATGCTGAAAATTCAGCTTTGCATCACAGAAATAAATTACACTTTACAATATATTCTAAAAGAAAACAGTTATTTTTATTTGTAATAGTATTTCACAATATTACTGTATTTTTGGTCAAATAAATGCAGCCTTGGTGAGCATAAAAGACTCAAAAATGTAACAAATCTTACCGATCCCAAACTTCTAAACAGTAATGTAAATAAAAATATAATAAAAGGACCACTTTACCTTAGTATTATTTAGTAGTATTAGAGTTAGTAGTAAACAAGAAATGTGAAGAAATAACATCCAAATGAATAGACATCTAAAGAACATTAATTGGATTAGGCTGGCTAGCTATACTGAGCTAATTTTGCATTTTTCTGAATCAAACACTACAGGCCTCATTCATAAAACACAAGCAGAACAAATGCATGTCTTAAGTAATCCACAAAACCATTGTATTGAACTCAATCTGGCAATTTACATAAGAAGGCTTTATGTACAAATGGTTTTATGATTTACAAATAAATTTATTGCACTAGTGTTTGTGGCACAATGTTTGTTGATCTTCATATTATGAACTGTAATGAGTTCTTGGTCTCGAGAAGTGAACAATCAAGCTAAATGTCCAAATCTTTGCTTGCTAGCCAGAGCAAATTTTAGGAACACAGATCCTAATACAACAGCTGACATACACCAATAGTCCGTATGCGCACACACACCTTCCCTTACGAAAAAGAAGTTTATTCAAGTGTGCTATTAGTATACTTCTTTTAAACTAAAAAATAGGAAAGTATACTTTTAGTCTACTTTTTATGTTCTTCTCAGAAATGGGCTTTATGTACTTCTCAGAAATATACTTAAAATGACATTTAAGTATACTTGACTTATACTTAGAAAAATACTAAACTAGTAGTTTACTGAGACTATACTTCAAAGTGTACTAAAAATGCTACTACAAGTATTTAATTAGTAAACTATCAGTATACCTATAAGTTTACTTTTAGTATAGTTGCAGTACAAACTAGCTACTAGTACACTGATATCTGTATACTTACTACATAAAGTTTACTTAAAAATATACTTGAACTTTACTTAAGTATACTTACTAAAATAAACTTAGTATTAAAATAAACTTAGAAGTATACTACTTTTTGGTAAGGGTTCACATCCACCCCCATGACAGATGCTTCATCTTTCTGCACAACATCCATCAGCTCAGTCCAAATGTGGAAATATTTGGCTCTGGCTGTCAACCACCACAGTAAATGTTACTGCATCTCTAACCGAATGATTACATTGAAAGCCAAAACAACAGCTGGGATATAAATAATAGTATTAAAGCAATAAATTTTTCTAGCACAAAAATCTACCTGCATTGTTAGTCAAGATGTTATAAATCAGAAGTTGTACATGACTATTTTCCAATCTCCCTGAATGAAATTACACATTCAGACATGTGTTACACATTTTTGTGCTACTGTACCTTTAATCCCTGTTATGATTAGCTAGCCAGCGTACTTCCTTCAACATGATGGATCATGAGCTTAATATGTAAATGTACATGGTCATATGTTAAGCTGTTCATGCTGTGATAGGACTATAGTGACAATAACAAATTTTGAGGGGAAAATGCATGAAATCATTTACAATAAGACTGGTAATGCATATTATGACCGTAAAAGTATTTATTTTGATTTCATGCTCACTTGAAACTAAATGTAAATCATCCAGAGGGACAGGATAAATTAAAGCAATAAGCCCCAAGAAGCCGTGATTTACAGTGAATTTATAACAACTAAGGGGCGTTAACCCCCTTAGTTGTTATAAATTCACTGTAAACCACGGCTTCACGGGGCTTATTGCTTTTATAAAACGGTTATTCCATATACGTAGTAAGGTTTCACAAAATAAAAACAATGTAAACAATGTAGTTCCTCAGAAACAGTTGTGGTTCCAACAAAGTGGTTGCCGAGCAACAAACAAATG